CCCATTGTGAAAATCGGAACAACACAAATAAGCGAACAATACTGTTTTCGATTAGACCGTCATCAGGCTGCTTTACTCTCTCATATACATGAATATTTATATGAAAATGTCAAACCAATCAAGGCAATTTATAAGTTAATAATCACAATGAAATGAAATCAATTACGTCACTATGCACATCATAGGCAAAAGTACAAATGGATATTAAGAAGACAGGTGTACTGATAGTAGTAAGAAAATTATAAAATACGATAACAAAAGTTTTATCAATAGTAGGTGAAACGTGGATAAATACACTTAAAATAATCATTACACAACATTAAAAACATTACGTAATAAGAAGTATGCGCATAATTAGATATTGAAGATTATCAACGGAAAGAGGCAAAGAATTACCCAACATATACAGGATGTGAAAATAATGCTAGTAGTAATATGAGTAAAATAAAATTTAAACCAATGATTGATTGATGATTTCAAATGTGTAAAAAACACAAACCTCCAATACTCTGCCCCAAAATATCGTAACACTGCTTACTAGTGACTAGCTTCGTGAGTAAATTCTCGGAGTTTCTAGTTGAGAAGATCGTGACCAATGGAGTTCAACCCTGTCGAGTGTAGGCAGTAAATACCAGAGACAAAAGGGTGAGGTCACGCAAAATCCGTAGATCAATCAGAGTTAGACATTAACACCGTTGAATGCCGGCCCAGTGGTCCAATGGTTAGGTGTTCGCGCACAATACGAAAGGTGCCGGGTTCGAATCCTGTGAGGAGTACGAGTCGTGGATGCGCACTGCCTCTGATGAGTCCTATACCAGGACGAAACGGCTGTCTTTCAGGTTTCTAATGTTGGTCTAACAATGATTGATTGATGATTTCAAATGACCAAAAGAATAATTTTTTCTTAAAAATCTTCAATCGTTAATTACGTCATATTCGGATAGTCATCAAAATGATCTTCTGATTGACTCGCTGCATCCAAGCGGAACTTTCCATTTTCGTTTTATTTTGTTGCTGTTGTTTTTTTGTCTTACAGATCATTGGATGGAGGTGGTAAGTCGAAGTACTGGAAAATTGTACTACTTTAATCGATTAAAATCGGAATCTACTTTTGATTTGCCTGAAAGTGAACATCTGTCATTCACGTGAGTGCACTTTCTTGTTATAAATGAATAGTTTAGCTTAACATTATCATGTTATTTGTATGGTCAAAGGTGAAAATAAGTGAATTGAATTGTCAACCTAATAGTTGAAAGTTGAATGTTTTAATCAATTACTTACTGATTTAATAGTCACTTATATCGGTGTCCATTTTTTAAGTAATATATTGAACATCAAACGATAGGATAAAACAGATAGCTTCATTCTATGCTACCGTTGACTATAACTAAGACGTTAAAGATCAATTATACGAGAGGTTGCTGTGAATCGTTAAGTGATGCTCCTTAATGAATTTGACGATTGTAGTGGGAGACTGAAATGTATGTGCCTTCAACAAACTGGTCTTAGGCGGCACCCTATTCCTGCACATAAACATACATAAAGCCACATGAATTTCACCGGATCACACTACGCTGAACCAAATCGATCATATCTGCATCAGATGGACCATGGAGGATGTGGAATCCAAGAGTCAGTCATTAGAATTATGTCGGGATGTTTGAATGAATGTTGAAACCCTAACATTCTTACTATTATGTAGTTGGTTGTAAATATAGGCCATCAATAACTTTACCCACATATTGATTGGTATGGATAATATATACAGACGTGCCGTCAGTAAGCAACAATCTAGTTGTTGTCAATCTAGTTGTCAAATCACATCAGCAAAGAGATGTAGTAGTCGATTAAAATCCTCCGGTAATAGATGTAGCAAAAGTATTAGCAGTAATAAAGGAAATTATGGTTGGGAGCCAACATGGCTCAGTCCAACTGTCAGTGACATCATGTATTTGTGCCATGTTTTGCTTTATCGGATTCCGGTTTTCTTCCATCTTCGCCTACACTACAAAACATCGGTCGTCATAGCAGCCGGTGTTCCAACTATCTCAACAGATGTAGATTGAGTTCTTCATCTATTGATTTGTTATCCTAATTGGTACCGGCATCCTAAGTACTGTATTGTGCTTAGTCGATTGTCCTAGGATATTCGAGCAATGAATCCAAGGAATCTGTGGTCGAATACTAGTAGCCTTCGAATATCCTCGAATGTTACTGGCCCTGTTTCACAGCTACGAAGTGGGACGGAGTCAGCTGCTGCGCAGTAAACCCGTATTTTGTCCGGTGGACGGTTATTGCGCTTGCGACATACATAACGCAAGTTGACCAACGCCATTAGAGGCTTCCGAATCCGTGCTGAGAATACTTTGCACAGCGGGTTATCAGTACTTATGAGACTCCCAAAGTAACTGAGGTGGTCTACAACCTCTACTACTTCGCGTATGTACCAACGCAAACCAATCCTGAAGCGAGATTTCGCTTTACAGGGTAAGAATCGCATGCTGAAAATGGTTTCGTTGTTGCCTAACGTGGTTAGAATACTCTGAATTTCTTCAGCGTCTTCACCGAATAGAATTATATCATTGGCACTTTCTAAGACAACAAGTGAGTCTGTTGGTAGAAGGTGAACTCCTGAAAATTCAAACGAATGGATTTCTGCCATGTTTTAGTCTGGCCGCCCCTAGCTTTCGTCCAACCTATTCCTACATCGCAAAACATAGCTCGACGAGGCCGTATGTGGTTAGGCATATATAACACATGTCCAAACCACCTCAACTGATGAATTTTCACTACTTCATCTATTGTCCTGGCATTCTTAACTAACACTCGTCACCTAACAACAAAATTGCTTACTTGGCTGTCCAACGATACTCAAGCAATGCTTCGGAGGCACTGATGATCGAAAACAAGTGACCTACGAATATCTTCTACTCTCACTGGCCATGTTTCACAGCCATAAAGTAGGACGGAGCGAACCACTGATCAGTACACTCGTCCTTTAGTTAGCAAACGGATATCTTGTCTTCACCATGGGTGACACAGGTCCGCAAAAGCCAATCGAGCTTTCTGTATCCGTGCCAAGATTTCGTCAGTCACCAGGCCGTCAACACTGATGAGACTCCCCAAATAAATGAAGCGGTCTACATGTCCGACTACTTCACTCGCTATCACTAGTTCAGGTGCCGATGCAACCCAATCTTGAAGCAACACTTTGCTTTTCGAGGGTGAGAACCGCATCCCGAACATGCTTGCATTGTTGCTTAGGGTAGTCAGAAGACTCTGCATTTTGTCAGCATCTTCACCAAGTAGGACTATGTCATCGACATATTCTAAGTCAATAAGCGAGCCACCTGGTAGAAGATCTTCTCCTGGCAAAAGCCAATCGAGCTTTCTTTATGCGTGCTGAGATCCCCCAGATAAGTGAAGCGGTCTACATGCTCAACTATTTCACTGCCTATCACTAGAGACTTGAAATAACGTTTCGCTTACTTTAGCTGTTTGTATCATCAGTTTTTGGTGATATGATTATATGAGTATGTGTAGTCATGCATGTGAAATGGTTCATTAAAGGGTTAGGTGTGTCATTATGAAATGAATACAGAGGTGTATCCAGTGTGTGTATAAACCAGTGTGTATCGACCCAACATTATACAATACTATATATATTTTTTTACCTTACTAAACAAATTGCACTGTATTTTTTAAAAATCTTCTCTTCCTCTCAAAAAAAACAATATCTATGATTTCAGTGAAACATATTACACTAAACTACCATGGAAAGCCGAGCACAATCATTATCCAAGTGTGGTTACTTTACTACCATATTTAGAGAAAATCAACAATCCACATTCATAGTTGTAAATATTTGTTTACAATTGTATCATTTTTTTAATTGTAAAAATAATAATAATTTTCGTCAAGCAACTCATCGATGTATTCTCTTCTGATATATATACATATATTTTTCTGTAAACAAACAATTTATAAAGTAATTGTATAAATTTCTTAATAATACAGTGTTTGTTGTATCAGACAAACAGATACAACGCAGAACTTCTTACATAAGTACATCAGTTCAGGTTGTCATGCCCCCCATCAGCACACAGAGACGCAACTGTCAGTTCAAATCCAACAGTGATAGTAATAATAGAAGTATTAGCAGTGATAGAGAAGATTAGGGATCGAAGATATAATTCGAGAAGTATAATTCAGTGAGATACATTTAGAAGGAGAAAGGTAGAGATTATGAGGAATTCAGAAGGTTAGAATTTCATAGAGCACAAAGAGTGAATGCACCTGCGCGATGTCATTCAAGGTCTCTAACCATTGGAGACTTATCATCTCTCGGACCCCAACCACGTAGTGTACATGACTCAGTCCACTTGTTAGTGACTTCATCGATTTATTGTATTGTATACAGCCATATATGTTCAGTGATTTATGTATTGTACAATGATAGAAACTCCTTTGGTGAGAGCTACTAGATGGCATACCGAAATAATCTATCAACCAGTAACAGTCAAGGATTTTCCGAGTAGGATATATCATCTGAAGGTTAATTAAGCGTCTTTGGCGCAAAAACATTGAAATTCAATATGACAGAACTAGGACCTTTTGCGAATGAGTTCTGCTGATCTATCTACTTTAACAATCTTATACTGCGAAATGTGTCCAGTGATTTATGTAAAATAAAATTTGGTAGTAGTAGTAGTTGTTGTGGTTTCGGTTGTTTATTATGCCTGTGAATCTTGTCATCTGGTTACACGTGATCAAATGTATGGATAGAGATTATCAAATTGAGTGATAGTATAAACTTAATCACCTGCTTAATTACTGTATATAAAGTAATGACTAGAAAGGCAAACAATACATCTGTTGTACCAATAGTAGTAGTAGTAGTGTTTGTAGTGATTATCTTGTTGCGTCGATCTGGGTATTTGTTATGCCTGCATGCACGTAAACACGTCAACTTGGTATACTTGAAGTATTACGAGTTTACCTAGTCAGAATACAAGATCGAGGATCCGGTGACACGACATGCTACTCAAATCCGATTATTCCAACCCCCTATATTGAGTAAAAATAATAAGACATGATATGAAGTAGAATCTGTATTCTACAAGCATCTAGAAAGTACGAGGTCCGAATCCAGAAGAGAATCAGGATCCGGGACCGAGCCCTGGTCGTGGTCCTAAAATGTTACAGATAATGCGTATTTATGCATTTTGGTCGAATAGGAAACAGCATCGAAGTCGGTGACATTGACAGTCCGGATGACCAATAAGAATCAACATTGAAGTATTTGACTTTGACAGTTTACTGAATGAGTTGTGAGGATCTGACATCTTTGATATTCGTTTCAAGTCTAATTATTCTTCTTATAAGCTGCTAATCGTGCAAAAATTACAATTCAATAAATAATGACGGATAGTCATTGCATCACTGATCCTAAGTTTCAGTAATGAACTTTAACGCAAATAAAAACACAGTGAAGAAATGGATTCACCTTTTAAGATGAATGTGTAGCTAAGCAGGATAAGATCATCATATACAACTTTGGTATTCCGAACAACTCAATTCGGTGAAGTAAGCATAATGTGTTACACAAGTTCCACAGTAGGTCCTTTCCATCACCCAGACAACCGATTTGAGCTTATACATATCGACATAGCTGGATCTTTCCCAATTTCCAATAGATTTGGCCTGTTGCGATACACATAAGAAGAGATTTGGGCAGAAACTATTGCTGAAATCTTAGTCGAACACTGGATCTCATATTGTGGAGTGCCTGTTTACATTACCACCGATATAGGAGCTCACTTCAAAGGTCACCTCTTTCAACAACTCACAGAACTGGAAATCAAACGTATGCGCACAAATTTATACCATCCGATATCGAATGTGATTGGTAGACAGACTATTCCGTCAACTTAAAGCCTCTCTTACAAGTGTTTTTGGTAACAGTGACTATGCCAACAAGCTTCCTTTGGCCTTGATGAGTTTAGGATCAACAATTAAACGAGACATAGGATGTTGCCTTGAAGTGTTAGCTTATGGAACTACCCCATATCTACCAGGAGAGTTGTTCACCTCAAGTAAGTGTGTTCCAACTGATACAGCTATCTACGTACATCGTCTAAAAGAACACATGAGTGACCTGAGAATAACTCTTCCGAAGGAAAATACATATCAGATACATATTCTGAAGCAACTGAACGATAGCACTCATGTATTTATCAGTAGGGATTTTGTCCGATGTCCCTTAGATCTGACCTACGATGATCTAGTTAAAGTGGTCAGCAGAAACGATAAAACTATCACGGTAGACAAACCTGGGAAAACGGATGTATGTAGGGTTAACTGAGTGAAACCAGCTTTTATTCAAAGTGACGAACAGCTAATAAGCACAAACGCTGCGAAAACCATCGAATCACCGAAACGCTAGTTCAAAGCATCAGCGAGGATAGTCCAGTAACGACTACCTATGGACGAAGAGCATGATGGCTGCAAAGATATATAGCTACAATTTCGAATTGATAATTCCTTTCTCCATTTCGAATACAAGTTTTTTCTTCATTCCATATATGTACGCTGTAAAATTTAACTTGTCTATAATTAAATTTGACAGATTCTGTGTATCCCGATGTTTAGATGTTATGACCTACTTTTGTTATCCCACCTCATGAACGTAAACATACAAGATCAGTTTATCTTTCGTGATTTTGTTGTTTCCGATAACTTTTTTCTCGCAAACACGGACAATTTTGTCTCACTGTTTGCTGGGGGCAGCTGTTGTAGTACCTCCACATACATTTGATTTTGTTCATAAATTTATTTTGGTTAGGCCCTTCGATTAACATATTTAACCGAATCATTTGCATAGCAATAACTTATATGAACGACTGCCTTTTATTATTGTCTGGTTTTTATGACTAAAAAAATTGCTCGCCGCATATGCGAATAGTCATTCTACTCGCTTTAGTGTCAACCTATAAAATGTTTCGATGACTCGTCCATTTTCCTATGTATATGATAAGTACATTTCGATCTTATAAATTCATTCGCTTGCTCACTAGCATGCTTGGTTGTCTCTGAGCTTGTGGTGTGCCAACACTTCATATTCGCCCTCTTGATGATAAACCGTGAAGAGCTACGTAGGAACGGTTGTCTGTACGAGCGGCAAACGTAGTCTAAGAACACGTTGGATACCGACCGTCACGAAAGCAGTGAGACACTGGCTACCACAAGTATATAATAAGGTTTAGTCATGCATGTAAAAGGGTTATTAGGATAGGTAATTGTGTCGTTACGAAATAAGTTTCATAGGAAACCTGAATAAGCAATTGCATTAGTGCTGGTCCAAGAGATTTGAGAGCGTCACTTCAGGGGCCGAAGGACAACAGTTTTTGGCAGGAAGAAAGTTATTAAACAATAAACTTCTCCATACACGCTCATCTTCAAGACCAGTAGGCTGGATTTTGTAAGGATCCATCGTGTACAGACCAGACCGCGGATTATGAAGACGTCAAAATCTGGACAGAAGCACAGTATATAATGGTGATCTATATCACAAGCAACAACAAACGTAAGAGAAAACAAACAGTGTAGCAGCAGCCTCAGATGCTGAAAGTCTAAACATACATGAAGGGAAAAGCAAGATTCTCCGATACAACACGAGACGAGCCAATCATATCTCTCTTGGCAAAGATGATTTCGAGGTCGTAAATTCCTTTAATATATGAGCAGAATCACTGACGAGAATCTGATCAAGATGTAAAGATGCAAATCAGCAAAGCAAGGACAGAATTTCTATAAGTGGAAAAGGTCTGAGGCAGAGAGGAATGGCTTAGTTCTGTTCTTTTATTGTATCAGTGATTATAAACTTCGCTAGCACCATTGTATAAATAATCTTGAATTGAGTGCTCAGCATACTCGTAATCTCTGGATGCTTGTACAATACATTGTAAGGGCCTAATCAAGACTTCTTGATCTAGTTAGCAGGGACTTGGACAACTGATTAGAATAGTTTGTAGCGTGAATGTATTGTTGATCTTCAGTCCATTTACCGAGTAAGGTGAACGAACTCGTAATAGCATAAAAGGACATCAAAGATAAACACTATGTGTATTATGAACAAAGTCATACAATTACTTTATAAATTGTTTATTGATAGAGAAAATAAATAGAAGAAAGTACATCGATGAACTGTTTGGCAGAATTAACAATTTTTGCAATAAATGTGACACAGTTGTAAACATATTTAAAACTATGGATAGGAATTGGTGATGTTTTCTAAATATGGTATTAAAGTAATGACACTTGGATAAGAGATGTGTTTTGCTATATGACAAACATTTAGTTCAATGCAGAAAGAATAACAAAACTTATCTAAGAATACATATCAAACAGGATTACTTCTAGTTTTTCAGCTTTCTCCTGTAAACTTTAGTCAGACATATGTAAACAGAATAAATATATGCAGAGAATACAATTTGTCAAAATTAAGTGAGAGTAATATGAACGTCATGTTTTGCGTTTATTTAAATATTATATACAGTGAGTAGAACAAAAGGAGTTTTACATTAACGATTTATTTTATTTAACTCACAAAACAAGGTTAAAAACAGAACAAACATAACCTACATCAACCAATTGTTTATGACAGAAACATGTTGCTCGAATATCAACACTAAGCGGAAAACCACCAGATTGACTATCTGGAATTAAACGATGTTCTAGTTTCAGCCCACGATAAAAATAAAGATAATAAATACTGTATTTATCCATGGAATCTTGGTATTTGCAAGTAAATTCTCCCAGTTTGATCCACCGATTTTTGTAGGAGACTTGAATCTCTCACAGAGCTTAATACACCACACTTACTGTCTAGATAATCGAACTGCTTTGGAGACGGTAACACACATGCATACATCGGAACATGATGAGTTTCCACCGTGAATACAATAT